CTACGGGCCTGGAGTCTGTTGTTAGGCGACAGCCCCTACTTGCCGCCCGCCATACCCGAGTGACTACGGCCCTGGAGTCTGTTGTTAGGCAACAGCCCCTGCTTGCTCCCCCCCATACCCGAGTCACTACAGGCCTGGAATCTGTTGTTAGGCAACAGCCCCTGCTTGCCCCCCCATACCCGAGTCACTACGGGCCTGGAATCTGTTGTTAGGCGACAGCCCCTGCTTGCCCCACCCCCCATCCCCGGGTGACTACGGCCCTGGAGTTTGTTGTTAGGCGACAGCCCCAGTCTTGCCCCCCCCCATCGCCGAGTCACTACGGGCCTGGAGTCTGTTGTTAGGCGACAGCCCCTGTTTGCCCCCCCCCCATACCCGAGTGACTACGGCCCTGGAGTCTATTGTTAGGCAACAGCCCCTGCTTGCCCCCTCATCCCCGAGTCACTATGGGCCTGGAGACTGTTGTTAGGCGACAGCCCCTGCGTGCCCCCCACTCCCCCATACCCGAGTCACTACGGCCCTGGAGTCTGTTGTTAGGCGACAGCCCCTGCGAGCCCCCTCCCCCATACCCGAGTCACTACGGCCCTGGAGTCTGTTGTTAGGCGACAGCCCCTGCTTCCGCCCCCCATACCAGAGTCACTACGGCCCTGGAGTCTATTGTTAGGCGACAGCCCCTGCTTCCCCCCCCCCATACCCGAGTGACTACGGTCCTGGAATCTGTTGTTAGGCGACAGCCCCTGCGAGCCCCCTCCCCCATACCCGAGTCACTACGGCCCTGGAGTTTGTTGTTAGGCGACAGCCCCCTGCTGGAGTGCTCACCGCTCCTGCCCTCTATCTGTAGGTTATCGTCTGGTAGGCAGACGGGCTGCACGCTGGCTGTGATCGCTGCTTCCTTGTGCAGCAGCAGCAGCGCGATGTCACCGTCCAAGCTGCTCGGGTTGTAGCCGGAAAACACCTGGATGCTTCGCACCTGCTCATTAACGACAGACAGGTAACCTATGCTGTAGCAGTTCTCACCTGCGACCTGACGTCACGATGCGCTTCCTTCCGTTCTCTATGTCACCGAGGTCAGGACAGAACGACTCTGTCAACGAATAGACAGATGTAGTAGATAAATAGATAGATATGATACAAAAACAGACGTATAATAAAATTGCCGGAGCATAAAACAGAATTTGGAATAAAATTGAGCAACTTAAACAACAACACCACTACCATCACCACCAGCAGCAACAACAACAACGACGACAAGAACAGCACCAACAACAACGACGACGACGACGACGACGACGACAACAACGACGGCAGCAATAACAACAACGCCAGTCCCCTTCACCTCCATCACTGTCACGTAGAATAACCTGGCAGTCTAGTAGAGTTGCTATCGTCCCCCCTACGACGACACAATGGTACGTCCCAAAGTCAGCGATCGACTGCGGGACCACGCGTAGCACACTGCGCGTCCGCTGGTGTTGCGCTCCCGAAACACTCAAGCCATCTAGATTCCAACTAAACTGGAGCTGAAACACAAAACCAAGTTGACGAGGGACAGCACTGTCGCATAATTATGTTAATTTTAAATGATGACTTCAAAGGTGCAGTTCGTAGGTGTTGATTAACTGAAGCACATATTAACTATCACCGTGTCATCAGCTATTAATACCAGTTAATACATGCGCTCGAGTTTACAATCATACTTTGAAGTGGTATACCTGTGTGTGTATGAGTGTGTGTACGCGCAGGTGTGGGCGTGTTTGTGTGTGTATGTGTGTGTGTGTGTGTGTGTGTGTGTGTGTGTGTGTGTGTGTGTGTGTGTGTGTGNACTCACTCACTCACTCACTCACTCACTTAATCACTTACTCACTTACTCACCAACCCACACACTCAGCAACCCACACACTCACTCACTTGGTAAACACTCTGGTTTACTCGGGGGCAACCACATGCCAGGATTCACCAGTCCGCACGTGCGCAGCCCGTTGTCTGCTGCCCGCGCCGCCAGGGGGCGCAGCTCGTAGTAGTTGTCACAACTGTATTCAAGCTGATCTTCTGTGGGGAACATTCCATCAGGAATATCCCTGAGGGAAGAATCGGCCAGGAAATGTAGCAGGCATGGGAGACTGGGAGTGAATGTAGCAGGCATGGGAGACTGTGATGGGGGCATGGGGGCATGGGGGCATGAGGGGCATGGGGGGCA